AAATGTTAGCTAGTTCTACTTAGCATATTAAATGTTAGCTAGTTCTAGTTAGCATGCTAAATGTTAGCTCGTTCTAGTTAGCATATTAAATGTTGTCAACTATAGCAAATGAAAGTCAAGAGGTTTCAACTCTGTATCATACCTAAAGTAATAAGATTAAACAGGTATTTAGCATATTTGCCAAGTCATTATTTAGATGTTATATTTATTTTACTTGATAACAACATGCTGGTTGTAACTAGTTTTCAGCACTGCCACAAAAGTATATAAAAAAATAAGGAGCATGCTTTTATTGATTTAATGTACAAATATGTTGATTGGATATTTAATGAAATGTTTAGATATTTATGAAATAACAGCCTATAAACAGTTTCTTTAGTAAATACCCTTCATGGTATTTCTTCTCTGGTCGTGTGCTAGCTCTGTTAGCATGCTAATAGTTTCAAATTAACAATACATGAATGAATATTTAAGTTTCACATCTGTAGCAACACTAAATTAAAAAGTATGCTGTGTTTTAACATATTTTCTTAAGTTATAGGTTTAAAATGCAAGTGATTTAAATATTTGCTGAATAACAGTATGCTATTATTTAGCAAATATTGTATTTGTCAAGTAATCCTGGTCCTCTTGGCTAGCTTTGTGTTAGCAGGCTAGCTGTTGCTAATAAAGAAAGTATGGACAACCTAAAACACAAAGTGCATAATTTTGTACTAGTGACAACATTTTCAGATTAAACACATTAAAACACGTTTCCTTCAGAGAGATGTTTTTAATTCATGTAAAGGTGAGTTTGCTCCATAGATGCTGAGAAGTGTCCTCAGTCTCAGGACCGAAGGTGACTCCTCACGCAGGAGCGCTGAGTCCACTCCACCTCTTCTGAGAGTCCTCTCGTTTCCTCTGGCACGCAGCCAGACACCTCGTGCGTGCGGAGCCGTGTATGTGTGCGTGTCACTGTGGGAGCAGGGGCCCACGGTACTACCGTCTGGCCTGGACCATCCGTGTAAACACAGCGTCTTCTAGTGGTCACCGGCTGCAGCTCAACATGGTCACCGGTGGACACTGCAGCACAGCAGCCCCCAGGACCAGGGCCTCACCCGGCCCCCCAGGACCAGGGCCTCACCCGGCCCCCCAGGACCAGGGCCTCA